AAGAATAGAAGAAAGGATATGTGATAGGTAGGGTTTTAGTTGGGGGGTGGTAGGAGAAAGGGAGGGAGAAGGGAACTGGGATTGTCATGTAAATCAATCTTGTTTCTAATTCAAATTTAAAAAAATGATAAAAAAAAAGAAGTTCTGTAGATAACATCAGCCTCTGGGTGGCATTAGGTGGCCAGTTTCTCTGACCACATCCTCATACCTACTCTAGGCTGGCAGAGGAGCAAGTCCTCAGCCTTCTGAAAGAGACAGTTCAAGTTTTATCACATGTATCTGCCTATATTCTTCTTAAGGGGCATCAAAAGGATCACTTTGAGACAGGTTGATGGATTTGGCTAGTTTGTTGCTTTTAAGGTTCCCAGGGCAGAAAATGCACTATAAAGGACATTGTGTGTGTGTGTGTGTGTGTGTGTGTGTGTGTGTGTGTGAGAGAATGGGACAGTGACATAGTCACGAGGAAATAGAAGGAAAAAGGACTGGGGTATAGTCTAATGTACATTTTCAAGAAGGATGACATTATGGCTTGGATATGAAATGTCCCCACAAAAGGCTCACGCATTGAAGGCTTAGTCCCCTGCTGGTGGGTCCAATCACTGAGAGATGATTGGTTCCTGTTGGGTTCTGACATAATCACCAGCATATGGATTCAGAATTTGATGGTAGAATCAGAAGGGGATGGAAACTTTCAGAGGGATAAGTACATGACTGTGTACATGTCCCTGGGGGATATATTGTCCTCAACTCCTCTTTGTCTTTCTTTTTCTCCTGCTGCTTCTTGGCTGCCATGAGGTGAGCAGCTTTTGCAGAATTCTCTAACTCTGGATCATCTCAGACCCCAAATAATAGGTCCTTGTTAATTGGATTCAACACCAGTTGACCATTTTCAGCTTATGAACAGGGCTTTACTCTTCTGAACATCCTAGCCTTTTCTTCCAAATGGTATCTGACCTCCCCTGTCCTCTCATTTTCCAGTGGCCTCCCCTGGACTAGGCCAGAGAAAACATGCTACACCCACAAACACTCATGAGGACCAGACAGGAGAAGCAACAGCCAAGTATGATCTGGAGAACTCCCTCACACACTTTTTCTTCAGGCCTTTTGACCCTCAGCCAGCCCCTAAGAGACAGGGTTCTTCAACACCTAAATCAAAAAGAAGTCAATACCAGCTACTCTCAAGTATGTATGTCCGGCACATTGGAGTATCTACCATATAGGTAAAGGGCACAGGAAGAATCAATGTGGGTCCTCTGCCCCATGGTTCCCAACACTTTCTCCATGCGTGGGACCCTAAACCTATGCAACACCAAGCCTGCCCCAACCCAAAATACTTGGCAGGCTTCAGCTTTGGCCTGGATGAGGACCACATGTCACTGTGGGACTCCAGAGCATCAATGAGCTTCCTACGTAGTGTCTCCACGCTAGCATCAGCCACTATAAATGAAAACAGGAAGAGAGCATCAGGAAACATCAGACTCCTGTACCCTTGTCAGTTTCACTCACAAACAAAGGTCCCCAAACCAATTCCAAGGAAAAACACATGCCAGCCCTCCTGTAAGGCTTAAAGCAAAACAATAAGCCCCATCCTTGCATCTCGTTACTGGAAGCTATTTAGTGAACAGTGAGTCACCATTGGTCTTCATGCAGACCACTGAAGAGGAAAGTGACCATGTGCCCATCTGTCCTTGCTCCTTTCCTTGGAAATGGGTCTCTGAGGCCGGTGTGTCCTCAATGGGACTCCCAGCCTGTCATGGCAGTCAGCCAAGGGTCAAGGATCCAGAGGGTAGAAAGGTGTCCCTCAGAACTGGCTTCAGGTTTAGGGCTATTCTGGGAAGACAGTGCCCCACCCACAAACCCAGGAGTTTGGATAGGCCACACATGAAGGGCTGCTCAAATGGGCTTTCCTGTGGCATCTCCCAGGCTGACTAATGTGGACACATGTGGAAAAAAAGACTGCTTGGGGATCTCTTTACTCTTGTGAAGGGGGTTTTCTTTACCCTGTAGGAACCCAGGTAAAAAGCAGAAGGGCTGGAGAGAAGACACTGGCAATGCCAACACAACAGCCAAAGTCAGAGAACCCACCTGGCAATGTTATTCCAGAACCATTCTTGGAGAAGGCCTTAAAAAACTGAAAACAAACACAAGAGTCAGAGGTGATGTCAGGTGGGCCTGCATTTAAAGTACAGCTGCCCTCTAACTGGGGTGGCTTTGGACAGACTACTTATCTTTTTTGAGCCCCACTTGACCTATAAATGAGATCATGGGACCCCTCTCTAGGGTCCTCACATCCAGTCCCTCCTCAACACCAAATCACTCTTAGAACTTTCCTGGAGACTAACTTCACAAAGCCCTGGCACCTGCACCTCTTTACTGGAAGCCATTTAGTGAAGAGGGAGAAGTCACTGATGGTCTTCATGCAGACTGTCTGAAGAGGAAAGTGACTCCTTGGCATATGTTAGCTTTCCCACATGCCCATCTGTCCCTGGTCCTTCTGGAAATGGGTCTTTGAGGCCAATGTCTTCTCAGTGAGAGTGCCCAGATTACTGTGGCACTCAGCTAAGGGTCAAGGGTCCTGGACAGGTCCTACTGAGAGGTGGACCTGTGCCCCAGAAAAACAAGACTGTAAACCACAGTCTTCAATATCATGTTGTCCTCTTTCCCCACACATGTTACACCCAGGCCCAGTCTGTCATTGGAGTGAGAGGACAGAAAACTAGGCAGCTTATAACCTGCGCCTCTGCCCAAGGGGCAAGAAGGCTGCAGGGCTCTTGCCACGTCCTCCTGCCTCTGGAGAGAAATGGTGGTTGTCCTGGAAGATACTCAGCTATGTGCAGAAGAGCCTGAAGGCTTCTTCATGAGGGCCTCAAACCAAAGGGCCATTTTTTTTTTTTTCTGATTTAGTCCTCTATTCCAACAGCATGGCTTCAGCCTTATTCCAAGCAGGTGAAGCCATAGGGGTCCAAGACCTGGTTTTGAGATGTTCTTGCTGTGTGACCCTGGGAAACCCTTTGGCTTCACCAAATCTTAGCATTCTGATCTTTAAAGTGAGAATGACATCACCAGTCTAGAATTGTTACAAGATTCAATGACATAAAAGCTAAAGTAATTAAGGCACAGTAACCAGTACATATAATAACTGACTCAATAAATCTCAATTCCACCACTATCATTTCCTTCTATACACACACCCTTTTAGCAAAAGGACACATTGACCAGCTAGAACTGGTCTGTTCCATTCATAGGTAGGCAGGAAGGGAAAATTCACATGAGTAGCAGATGGCAGAAACCAGCCATCCCCTACCTGTGACCTCACTGCCCTTCTTCCTGCTCTCTGCTCCATTCTCTTCTCAAATTATGAATGTCATACTTTATCCATAAGTAAAAACAACCCATTTATATTTCACACATATGCCCATGTTCTTGACAGTTACTGAAAAATCTTGACCTAGTAAAATTATTATTCTATTACTTGTAAAATGAACACAAATTTCCTGAATTTTTGTGACATGAAATCAAGGTTGTAGCACACATTGGAACCTTTATGGATAAACACTGCTTCTCAGAAACAAAACAAATATGACCCTGCAGGATGGTTTGCTCAGTGTGGTACTGTAGCTGTACTCTTACTTTTGTACAGACAAGATAGACTTAACTTCTAGACCTCTCAAGTCATGTACCAGCCTTCAGTGGTGTGGCTTGCTCATAGCTATAGCAGTTACATTCAGCTCTGGAGAACAACACGGTACCTTTCTTTCATCAGTCATCAGGCCACCTAAGTCTGAACAAGCACTTGTCTTAAAGGAGCTGGCAGCACTCCCCCCATCCACCCAAACAAAAGGCATCTCCTTCTCCCTAAATGTCAAGGCTGTAATCTATCATAGGAACTCTGAGTTGAAACCATGAGTGTCTCAGGACGCCCCGGCCACAGAGTGCATGACAAAGGAATTTCTGTGCCATTACTCTGCCTTCTCAGTATTCAGACACTTCCTATCTACCTTCCAGAACAGTATCACCCTTGGAGAACACGGCTCCCACACCTCATGATCTTTGGAATCTTCTTCCTACAAATTAATGTCTTTCTCATTATACCCTTTCTCTACCAGCTCCTTTTCTGGGCAAAAAGAGATCCTAAGAGTCCTCATGTACACTGTAGGAGGACAGAAGGGAAGAAGGGCAGGACTATGGAAAGGCTTCTTTCTCCTGCACTGCTCAATGCCTCTTTGCTCCCTGACATCTCCCCCCCCCCACTCCTTGGAGGCCACCACACCACTAAAATGATTCGGGGAAAGCCAAGTGGTGACACTCTAGCCAGTCCCAAGCATCTCTCAGGTGCTGTTTGTGTTCTAGGCAGTAGCTGTCTGTTCTTTCCTCCTCCCTGTCTAGCTTTTATTTTGTTTTTCACGCACATTTTTTTGAAACTATCTTTTTTGTCTCTCCTTTTTCATGTTGCCACCCTCCCTAGATTGCTGGACAGTGACCAGCCCTTCTTGGTTGTTAACCCTGTCCTGACTTCACCCTTGACTGCTCTCCTGTGCTACTGTCATTACTGCTGCTCTTACTCTCTCCTGTTGCTACACATCAAATCAAGTCATTCTTTGTTTGAAGTGCCTTTAAAGGCTCAGTTTATATTTTCAAATGAATGACTGAACAAGTGAATCAAGAACAAAACTACTGTTTCTCTGTTACCAAGTCATTCACTTTGTTCAGCTGATTTACTTACTTATCTGAGCCTTGTGTCTCAGGTCCTTAGCTGTCCTAGACTTCCGGTTTCTTTTGGTAAACTCCACAGGGGTGTCAAGGCACCCCAGCCCACACACCAATTCTGAGCTATCCCTCCTTCAACCTACTTCTGCACCTGTGTTTTATCTCACCCAGCAATCAGTCCTCCTCCCTGTTTCCCAAACTAGCATGTCCCTTCCCTACAACCCCCATCCAGTCATCTGGCAAGTTCTGTGACTCTGCCTCTTCAATAGCCTTGTCACCTGTCAATAATACCTCTCACCTTGTCTAGACCAGGGCCAGTAAGTGAAAACTTAGTTCAGGCAAAAGAGCTCACAGCCAACTTCAGCTGCCTGAGTTCGATCCCTAGGATCTACATGGTAGAAGAGAACTGACTCCTGAAAGTTCCTCTGACCTCCAAATGCATATACAGACACACAGACGCGCGCACACACACACACACACACACACACACACACACACACACACACTCTATCTGTTCTTCAGCTGTCTTCCTCCTTGCCACTGTGTTTTCTTCTCTAAGGAATAATTATGGGATTCCTCTTCTGATTGCCATATATATGCATGGGCTATAAGTGAGATCCAAACTCAATACATCTAAGCCCTTCCTTTCAAGATCTGAACCCAGACTGACCTTCCACCATTCCATACACTTCAACTTGCACTTGCCATTTAGTAACCCATTGTGGTGGTTTGACTAACAACGGCACTCATAGGCGCATATGTTTGAATGATTGGCATTATTTGAGACTGGCATTATTTGAGAAGGATTAGAAGGTATGGCCTTGTTGGAATAGGTGTGGCCTTGTTGTCATGGGAGTAGGGGGTGAGGTTGGGGGTGGGGAGGTAGGGGTTGGCTTTGAGGTTTCAAAAGCCCATGTCAGGCCCAATGTCTGTCTGCTCATTTCCCACTTGCTGCAAAGCAAGATTTGGCTCTCAACTATTTTTACAGTACATGCCACCATGCTCCCCACCATGACAATGAACTCACCCTCTGAAACTGTAAGCAAGCCCCAGTTAAATCTCTAGAAGAGTTGCTTGGTCATGGCATTTCTTCAGAGCAATAGAACAGTGACTAAGGCACCCACCCACCTGCCTGACTTGGCTAGTGCTAACAGCTTATACATCACTGCAAACCACACCACACTGTTCCTGGTATGGTGTCTAGCATACTTAGCTGCCCAATTCAGTAGCCATAGCCCTTTCATCACCTCCAAGGCTCAAGTGGAAATCTAGTCAGGGCACATTTTTGTCCTCTTAGGAAAATACACCCTTGTTAAGTCAACCACTGGAGTTGTGTATGCCTACCTGAGGTCAGTTACCCTGAAAAAAGCAACAGAGTATCCAGGAGTGTGTCTTTTCTCTGACAGCAGGCAACAGTTCCTTTTTTCACCGTCTCTCTCTGGATTTATTTTGTATGTATATGGGTTTCACCTGCATGTATGTATAGCATGTATGCGTCTGTTACTTGCATTAGTCAGAAGAGGGAATTGGACACCCTGGAGTTAAGGGTGGTTTTAAGCTACCATGAGGGTGCTGAGAACTGAACCCGGGTCCTCTGCAAGAGCAACAAGGCATCATTGAGGCATCTCTCCTGTCCTGCCTCTTCTTTTCACCCCTCAACATAAAATAGGACAGAGGAAGGCACTTCTGCCTCCCTGGACTTGCTGCTCCTGTGAGGCTATGGTCTTTCCATAACAGCAGGACAAGTGTCAGCACAAGAGAAGACACCAGGAACCCAAACAGCTAAGCAGAAAGCACAAATTCCAGGAATGACTAGTGGTGGCACTGGAGCCAAGCATACAGAACCAGTTTTCAGAAACAGAATCAAGTCTCAGTTACACTGAGCTCAGAAAGGTCAATAGCCTCAATTACTTAGTTTCTGTGCTATGAAAGATCAGTGTAGAAGATGGCTGGAAGACAGAAGGTAACAGTGGGGGTGAGAACCCATGTCCTTTTCTCAGAGAGGAAGAAGACACTTAAATTCTTTCTGTCATTCTGCAAACTCGCCCTCTGGCTACAGGGTTCTAGTAAGAGCTCTACAGAGTGATAGCCTGGACTCTGTGCTCCGTATTGCTCCATTCTCTTCCTGGCATTCAAGGAACTGCCATTCTTGGGCTCCTGCCCTTGCCCTGGTTCACCCTGAACATGATCCTCTACGTAACATGCCACACAATTCTGCTCACAAGAGGGTCCCAGCTCTCACCTTCTCTGCCCAAGCTCCTCTGTGCCTAGGATGAAGCCCACCACACAGAAACTACCATTAGACTCAGGGGACAGGAAACAAGAAGAAAACTAACATTTACCAAGCCCCCCAAAATGCCAGTGCTCAGGCACTTCCACGGGTAAGGCCCTTTTTTTTTTCATACTTGATCTTATTAATAGATGGCGTTATCCCATTTTTATAGGCAGGAAAACTGAGAATGTGGTTGGGGCTTTAAGTGACTTCCTAGGTCACACACAGTGAGCAGTTTGCATTGATGAGCTTCCCAGAGATCAGTACATAGGCCTTCACCACCTAATGGGGGCACTGCTCTGGCCTAGGACTGCTTCAGCCAAAACCTACTGTAAACTCATCTCCCTGATCCCTGCATCCTTTTCTTCCAGGGGCATTCTACTCCAGCCTAATGGGGCCCTGGCAGAGTAAGATCCTGGCCTTAAGGGCCAGGTATTTTCTAGACTGGCTGGGCTAGTGGGAATTCAACATGTGTTCATGGTGACTAGGGGCTGGAGGAAGTGAAAAAGGACAGTGTACACATGTCACTCACTATATTGGCCAGACTTGTGTGGGTATGTCTCCTTCACACCATGGATCCTCACTTAGGGCTCACATAGCCTCTATAGGTAGTGAGCAATGACAGGCTCTGGCCCCTAGAGGGCAGCAGTTAGGGCAACAGGGAAAACTGGCAGGCTGGCCTACTTTTTTCTGTTCTGCTTCCTAGGGAGCCCTGCACTTTAGGCTTTTATAGGCAAGACTGGAGATCTAAAACACATGTGAGTACTGTTTTAAAACATGTTAGAATCAGCCTAATAGTAAGATGAAAAGCAAATGTCAATTTAGCAAATGACAGTGTAACAAAAAATATCATTAAACTTTTGCTTTAGCAATAGTTAACACAAACTAAATTTAGGATCACAATGTAAAACACACATTTCTTATTGCAGGTCACAGTCTGAAGTCATTTAAAAGGCACTTAGACTCTTGGGACAGAAGTCTAGCAACAGCGTGAACCACCTGGCCATCTTCTAGAGGGCTAAAGATAGGGCACTGAGTGCTCTCCTCACATGAAACTAAGCAGCAGATTCCTCAGGGAAGGAACGCCATGCCCAGGGAGGCCAGGTGAGAGCTTAAGAAATGGACAGCTGTCTACTGAACTGGCCCAGCCAGGTGCTACCAGTCTGCAAATAAAGGAAAGCCAGAATGACCAGGTAAGGTCCCTCCCAGGCTCTCCTACAGTCAGCTGGGCAGGTAAGGTGATTAATCACTTGAGGCATCCAGGCTGCGTGTACTGCTTGACTTGCTGAGAAGTCTCTGAACCTGCACCTGCCTGGGCCTCCTCCTCACACCCAGTGTCTGGCCTCTCCCTGGCTGAACAGAAAGCTCCAGGTGTCAGGGCACTCTAGAAGATGGCCAGGGGGTTCACGCTGCCTCTGCTTCAAGACTCTAAGTGCCTTTTAAATGACTTCGGACTGTGATCTGCAATAAGAAATGTATGTTTTACATTGTGATCCTAAATTTGGTTTGTGTTCACTAATGCTAAAGTAAAAGTTTAATGGTATTTTTTGTAACAGAACCCCAACTGACATGCTGAATGGTCTCTCTGTGGGCTAGACAGTGGCTAAGTCCCAGTGTTCAGGGTTCACGGAGAGAAAACTATGAGCCTATGGATGATGGCTTCAGCTGCTACTCTGGGTTCCCACAGCTTCCCACTTAGTATTGCTCACTCTGGATCCGCAAAGAGCATCCTCACTGAAATACCTTGTTACATATCCTGAAGATGAGGACAGACAGTGTCCTTGCCAGGGAGACTTTCTATTTAAAGAGGTGAGTGCTAAGAGCCTCCAGGATGATGTGGCTGTAGCTACTGTCTTGCCACACTGTTCCTCAAAGCAACCTGGTCTGAGAGCATGGGCCTGGTCCTGATCTTAAGTGGTTATCATTTAGGAAGTGACTCTGAGGTGGGGAGCCTGAGTGGGGTCAGCAACAACACCCCTGCAGATGAAACTGCTGAGTGATCAGGCTCCTGGATCTGACTGGAACTCGAGGTCCCTCAGCTCAGAGATATCTTGTTCCAGGGATCAGACTTGGCATTTCAGTCTTCAAAGGTACCTCCTGATTGTTGTTCATGGCTGTAGAGAAACTGCTTATCTAGATGCCATTCTGGTGGGCAGGGCTGAGCCCTGGGAGGGCCCTAACCCTAACTGCTGCATCTGTGTCATCTGCTACGGAAGGGCTCTTGAGAGCCATGGTGATTCTTCAGCCATTAGATTGTTGGAGAGGCTGGAGAGATGGCTCAGAGGTTAAGAGCACTGTGCATTCTTTTAGAGGATTCATGTTCAATTCCCAGTCCACATAGCAGTTCACAACTGTCTATAACTCCAGTTCCAGAGGATCCAACATCCTCACACAGATATACATGGTGTTTGACCAATGCACATAAAATTAAAATCTAATTTTTTGGCGGGGTGTATTTTCAAGACAGGGTTTCTCTGTGTATTCCTGGATGTCCTGGAACTCACTCTGTAGACTAGGCTGGCTTCGAACTCAGAGATCCACCTGCCTCTGCCTCTGGAGTGCTGGGATTAAAGGTGGGTGCCTGGCCTGCCTGGCCATTAAAAACTATTTTTAAAAAATAGTTGGTGTCCTGTGATCACTGACAGACGATCATCAGAAAGCTCATGTCTCTGTCTGCCAGAGGTGGAGTGTGAGAGCCCTCATGCCTTGGATGTTGGTGACTTCTGTCCCTGGAAGCTCTGCCATTGAAGCACTGCACATGTTGGCTATGGGGGTGAGACAGTCCCTTAAGTCACTTTGGTGTGCTTGCATGTCAAAGCTCTTCCTTGATGACAGTGAAGTACTCCAGTGTCTCTGTAACACAATAGGCCCCAGAGGATGATATGCCCACAAATGGGTCAGAGCCCAGATCCTGGGTTTAGAGTATGATCAGACCTCTAAGAGTGGGAGGTCACAAATGAGAATTGAAAAGGACTTTGAGAAGTAGCAGTAGTAGCCTGTGTGACGACTACTTTACAACACAATGTTCTATCAAATGTGAACAGTGCTCCATCAGGAGGTGGGCAGTGCTCCAGAACCTAGGACTTTAAAGACTCAGGCCCAGAGGCATCAGAGGGCTCCTCCAAGCTCAGCAGCCCAGGGAGGTACCAGGAAATATGGAGCAGGTGGCTATGTGCTCAGACAGAGCCATCCCTAGCTCCCCTTTTCCCTTCATCACATACCCTCACAGTTGGGAAGCCACTGATGTTGAAGTCTCTGCAGACAGCAGTATTGGTTTCCTCAGCACAGTCCAGGACAGCAAGATTCAGTACTGGCCTCCATTCTGAAAGGACAGATCATTCCAGTAAGCAAGAGAAGCTAGCCTCTGCTATTCTTCCATCCAAAACTCCACAGCCATTAATCCTCCTCTGAAGAGGGGCATACTTTTTTCAAAAAAAAAAAAATGACCTCTGAGACAGTTCCCTCACTAGAAAGGACTATACTTAGGATACAGTTAAATAGCATGGTATATTGCCTTGTAATGGCATCTGCATTTGTCTTGTGCTTAGTGGGATGTGGCATGGGGCTAGAGGAGCTAAGAAAGATAAATGAGTGTAGCCCCCAGAAAAGGCCCCAGTACAGTCTTTGTCCCTGAAGAGCTACCTAAGGAGATCAGCTCCCAAAGGGAGAACATACCTTGGGAGCTTGTATTCCCCAGTAAGGTACAGAGCCAAAACAGAGGAACAATCCCAGGGGAGAAAAAAAGCAGGAGATCCAGGACCCTCAGGGAAGGAAGATGTAGGGTAACCAACAGTCAGGAAGACTGGTCATGTTTCTTCTTCAAGCCCTGTGGTGGCATCTTGCTCATACAAATATAAAGCCTATCTGAAGGTCAGAGAATGGAGCTTGCCACTAGCTGACCATGGAGGTCTGGAGGTCTGTATAGACAGACAGGAAGTGAGCTAGCTGTGTGGAAACAGGATATAAGGAGGGAAAAACAGGAACTCACTCTCTTGCCTGCTGAAACGCTAAGGAAGTAAGGTGTGGTGGTGGTGGCGGCTTGCCCCTTCTCTCTGACCTCTCAGCATTTTCCTCTATATCTGACTCCAGGTTTTTATTATCTAGACCAATTAAGAACTCCATTTACAAAGCCCCAGGACAGAGGCTTCTCCATGAGAAAGTAACTGGCAGAGCAAATAATGGCACAGACCAGAAACTCAAAGGAGATCAATTCATACTAAGCAGAGCTCCGAGCTCTGACTCAGGTCAGGGGTATCATATACCCATGAGGCCACCTAAACCTTGAGAAAGCAGTGGCCAATGTCGAATTCTACAGCACAGACCTCCACACTTTGAGGCATTAAGAAGATTAGTCTTGGGGGTCAAGGCATGGACTTTTCTAGCCTTACCCCTATTACTGGCTCCCCTTGGTATGAACAGTCAGCAGCCTGTCCACTTGATTCCAAATCCTGTCTATCCCCCTTCCTGAGTGTCTTCCCCTACTCAAGCCACCACTCCCTTGTCCTGTTTGTTCTAAGTGGCTTGGACATCTGATCTGGTTTCTTTACTTACTTCCCTTCTAAGCTACCCTCCACACCCAATGAGCTGGTACAGCATCTCCCACAGAAGGTATCGTGAGATAATCTCATACATCCTACTTCTAAATGTACTACTTCACTAGCCTCTAGCTACCACTTGTCTTCCCTTTCTGTGGTTCTAACTCAGCTGCCCTCTACTCAATACTTGTTGGCAGTTGTGAGTATCTTTAGAAGATACAGCCTCTGTCCACAGATCTAGTTCCCTCTTAGCATTTCTCCAGAGCAAAGCCAAAGGTTTTCTTCTTCCCTGACAGCATGGTTGTCGTGTATTACCAGGCAAGGGCCTCTCTGCAGACTCCCCTGTCAGATCCAACTCAGCTGGGATACTACTTTCTCCCAGGAAGAGCTGCCTCCTATGCCCAAAGTTTGGACCCACATAACAATTGGTGTGTTCATCTCTACCTTTTGGCTTTTTGGACTCCCTGCTGTCCAACAACCCTTACCCAGCACACAGTAGGCACTCAGCCCAGACCAGGGACCAACTCTCAGCTCATGGTTGCTCTAATTCTTGGATACTTTCTCTTTGTTTCCAGCCTCAGTCTTTTCTATAGTCTAGGTAGTAGGTGAAGTTAAAGCAGTCTCCTGTGATAATACCTGGATTCATTCATTATTGATTCATCCTTTAAAGCAGTGATTCACAGCTTTCCTAATGCTGCCGCCCTTTAATACAGTTCCTCATGTTGTGGTGACCCCAACCATAACATTGTTTCATTGCTACTTTATTACTGTAATTTTGCTACTGTTATGAATCATAATATAAATATCTGTGTTTTCTGATGGTCTTAGGTGACTCCTGTGAAAGGGTTATTCAACCCCAAATGGGTTGGGACTCGCAGGTTGAGAACAACTTTTTTAAAGAAAGAGCAAGGTCACAGAAGAGCTTGTCAATGGTCACCTCTTGCCCAAGTTCAGGGTTTCACACTGGATTGCAGACAAAAGTGTATTCAGTCCTTTCTGTTCCCCTGCCAAAGGGTGACCAGGGGTCAGAGAGATATACAGTTCATCTTCAAGGGCCATCTGGAACACTTTGAGTCTAGTTCCTTTTGTTCTCCCTCTAGGGCAGAACTTTGTTCTAGAGTGACTTACAGGAAAGGGCAGCTATCCTTAAGAAATATCGGTATGTACCACATAGGAAGAATAAAGTATGGGACATTCTATGTCATCACACCCCACTGCCACTATTTGATGTGGCCAGCACAGCCCCTTATCTGCAAATGAAAATATGGACTCAGAAGCCTCCCACATGGAGAAGCCTATGAGACTTGACAAACTCACTTGTTCCTCTCTCCACTGTACCAGGGTCAGGACAATGCCTTTATATGTATCATCTTGCTCCAATTATAGCCTCCTCTTAAAAGGAAATGGCAGAAATAGTCGTGCCATCCAGTTAAATATTCTCTATAACTGGGCTTTAGCAACCTGGGCTTCAGCCTTACCTAAAGGATTGTGCTATTGGCACATGTAGTGAGTTTATTGTGTGCTCAATTTATCTAGTTCAGTGCTCTCAACAAGCTGATGAGGAAGTACTAAGAAATTTATCTCCGGATCTGCTTTCTTTAACTATAAAACAGATGTGATAACCATGCCCAAGACATGGTAAGCTAATTAATGGGAAATCTAAGATCTGAACCCAGGATTTGAGCCTTGGAGCTAATTCCAGAAGGATTCAGATCAGACCAGACTGATTCTATACTGGTTTTCCAACAGGGATGCAGTCAGGATAAGGATGCAGGTCAGTGATGAAGGACAAGAGGGAAGACGATGCTTGGGTTGGTTTGCTTTTGCACCCCTCCCTGTCCCTTCAAAGACAGGGTCTTATTTTGTAACCTTGGCTGGCCTCTAACTCAGGGATCTGTGTGTCCCTGCCTCCCAAGTGCTGAGATTAAAGGCGTGTGCCACCAACTTGCCTTGCTCTCCTTAGACTTTGATTACGTGTGCTCTATGAAATGAAACCGGTGCCTGCTTGTTTGACCTGCTTCAATCTCAAGGAGTGGTGGAGGTGGGAGCTGGGGCCAGTTAGATGCTGGTTAAGTTCTGACAAGGACTTTTTCAGGTGTCACGATGTTAGTACCCTAAAGAGTCACAATGGCACATACAGCTATGGTTTGCACCATACACCAGACACTGCAGACCTGGCTATTTATGATTCTAGTGCATTAAATATCATTTCCAGGAGCCCACTGGTAATGCAGGGGCAACAGACCAAATGAGATAGAGTCAACTCATACTGAAGTACTAAGCCACTAAATTGAAACCAAGTTATCTGACCTCCCAAGAGAGCAGGAGAGATAGTAGATAACAACCACATCCACAAAAGGCCAACAAAAGCTTTAGCCAACATTATAATGAAGTCTCTCTAAGGCAGTGGTTCTCAACCCACGGGTCACGATCCCTTTGGGGATCCTAGAACAGATATCCTGCACATTAGATATTTACATTATAATTCATTAACTAGCAAAAGCACACTTATGAAGTAGCAAGGAAATAATTTTATGGTTGGGGGTCATCACAACATGAGGAACTGTGTTGAAGGGTCACAGCGTCAGGAAGGCTGAGAACCACTGCTGTAAAGCTTACAAGGAAGTAACTATGAAATGACCAATACATTTTGTATGTTTGTTTTCTGTGTCCTCTAGTCTTCAGCCCTTTTGTTGGTAAAGCCACACCTTCAACTCAGCTCATCAGGACATTAAAGGATTCCAGAATCACAAATTAAAGCCAATTAAGGTATTTAAACGAAATTTTCTTTATCTGAGTGTCTCATTGGTGCAGCACAGTTGTGTGGTAGGACAGTGTAAGTGCTTTGTTGTCAGTGAGAAGGACTTTCTGGTGTTTGGTGTCTTATACCACCCAACTCACTCCTGAAGAGAAGCATTCCCCACTACATTTAGACTTGGGCAGAATAATTTCTCTAGTAGTAACACTGTAAATGGACAGTGGAAAGGAAGGATGGCAAGAGAAGACAAGAGAGGTAAAAATTTTGCAATGATGGGTGAGGGGAAAACCTCTGGTGGGAATTTAACTGTGTCCTTACACAAGTGTCTCCTGGAATCCCAGGCAGGGTCATCTCCTCAGCTCCTTAGTGCAAGAAGAACACTGAACCCAGAAGCAGAAGAATGACCACCTGGCCAACACATGTATGCTCTACATGGCTCCTCTCGGGCACTCAGCTCCTCAGGGGTCGGAAGGCCAGGACCAATGGCTTCTACTGCCCTTTGTAGCACCAACAGAAAGTTTTCTTGTTCATACCATCATTGGGAATTCTGCAAGGCTTTGGCCATTGGCTGTCATGAGTGTGCTCCCACCCTATACCACACTCTGTGGTAGGCATCACAGGGACACAAATGCAAGACATCATCCATGCTCTCCTCTCAAAAGGACAGAAAGGCAAAGCCAACAATGCTCACTGAAATCCAACTTTGTGTGCCTTACAAACCTTGGTTTGGTATGTGCTATTTTCCTACAGGGAGAGCCCTACTTACTCCAGCCCTCTCTCCTCCTGCCCATGTTGTGACATCAGACACTGCTAAGGGAAGAGGTCGACAGGGGCTGCAGAGATAGTTGAGGAGTTTAGAGTCCTTGCTGTTCTTGCAGAGGACCGGAGTTTGTTTCCTAGCACTAATAATGGCAACTCACAACCATCTGAAACTGTGTCCCAGAGGACCCAATGTCCTTTTGGGCCTCTGTAGACACATGTGGTACACAGACACACATGCAGGCAAAACACATAAAATAAAAACAAATC